GAGTGTTTTGTAAGTTTGGTTTCCAATGTTCAATTTTAACGTGTAGGGTTAGAGTTAGGTTACCGAGTTAAGGGTTTACTAGTAATGCTAATTAGACTAAACTTTTGGGGAAGCCCAATTGTCAAAATTGCCCAATTAATTTTGGAAAAAAATGATGGAAAATGCAATTAAATTTTTTTTAACGGGTAATCGGTTTGGGGCGGTGCACCATCGCTAAATACCATACCCGCCCCTAGATGAATCGGTTCATTAAAATCAAAACCATAATCGCCTCATTGCACTATCGGTTCGATTTTTTTCGCCCCATTCGATTCAGTTAACAGTGATTTTCGGTTTTAACAGTTCGAATTGACATCCCTACCACCACTACCACTTTCATAACCTACCAAGCTGCCACATAGCACCACCTTTCGGCCACCACGCTCACCGGACTCCACCACCATCAACCTCGCTTTACTCCCCCAACATCCTCTCCCGCACGAATTTGAAGATTGGAGCACTTAAGACCTACCAATTTTGGTCAAATAGCTCTCTCTATGCATCGCATTTGTGGAGAGTTTTGGACCAGAAGTTGAAACAGTTGAGGGGGATAATTGGTTCAATTAAATTTATACCCATTTTCGTTTGAGTTTGTTGATGGTTCGATTGATGTCAATTTGGGGATTTAGTGTTGTTGGATGCATGAATTGAATGAGAAGAGTTTGACAAAATGGACGTCGCCACTGTCGAATATCTAGATTACAGTAGAATGATTTGAGGCAAGTTTGATTGATGTGAGGCCATGTATAGGTTCATCGAGGTGAGGGGTAACCGTCGATGGTGGTGCACGACCGTGGGTAGCGCCGAAAATGGGATTACCGTAAAGGGTTGTATACGACAATTTGATATTTTAGGCTGCAAATGTGGCTGTTTTCGACATATTTTGTCACTAATACTGTGGGAGAGGATGTTTAGGAGAGTGAAGGAGGCTAGTAATGGTGGAGTCCGACGAACGTGGTGGCCAGAAGGTGGTGCTATGTGGATCTATAGGTGACGGCTTGGTGGGGTTGTAAAAGTAGTGGTGGTGGTGGTGGTGGTGGAGAATTTAAAACTTATCTGTAATATTTAGAAAAATTTAAGACTATGATTGCAATTAATTGTTTATTTTTTCTTTTCTTTTTTTTTTTTGTTTCATTTGAATGGAAGGGTAAAATCGTCATTTTATCGAAAATAGTTGAAAATGACCTTTTGCTTAATGAAAGGTGGAAGGTATGGACGTTTTGCACAATGACATTGAAAGGTAAGGACATTCTGTGCTATTTACCCAAAAAGAACTAAAAATTGTCCAACTAATAACGTTTTGGGTATTTCATCTAAGAAGAAACGAATCGAATCAAACCACTCTGAGCTGTTCGACCGGTTCAATTCGGTTCTTGACTTTTGTCCCGCACTACTATTTTATGATTTTTTTTACATCTTCCTAGCTAGCAAAAAAGTGATTGTTAATAATTAGTCTCAATGTGCTTATTTTCTTAGCTAGAAACATAATCCCAAGCAAACTAAAATGGTACTTCGAGTCAATGTCGAATGACGAATAACATCCTTATTTTTAACTTCCAAGCATCACGAATGTTTGAGAAACTTCGAGTTGTACATTGATATACTGTTTATGATTGTTATATAGTAGAAAATAGAAATCCTCCAATTTTTGGGAAGACTTTCCACCCTCTTGCTTTTACTTTATTTCCTTATTTTTATTACAATATTATCTTTTCTTTTTCTAGAAAAATTTATTCCTTGTTTCTTTTTTGTGGAAACTCTATAGAAATCTTCCGTTCTTTCCTTTAATTTTCTAATGATAAAAAATAAATAAATCAATTTGAGTCAATTTCCAATAAATTAAGACTGAGACTTACAAAAACTTTAAGACCAAGACAATAAAAATCCTTTCACATTAGAGATAGCAACATCAACATATATAGTAATTATCGTGTCATCAATATTATTAAGTGTGATAATCACACCGTTTCTACATAATGAATGTCATACTTTTAAGTAAAGATATTAAAAGGTGAAGGTGAAGTAAACTTTTTATAAATTAAAAAAACGAGTTGAAATCTTTGTAATTCACTTTTAACGAAGAATAATATTATTTGTAGAGAGTCCAGGATGCAAAGATAAAATAATTGCATATTTTTAGTTGCTCAAATGTTAATTTAAATTTAAATAAAGAATTTACGTTGAATAATGAAAAGATACAACAACACTCATAAATATACATAAATACGTACTAAAAAACTGAAGAAATAAAATATATCAAAGGATGGAATAGTAACAAGAGCCATGATATGTGTACATAGATGTAACAATACTAATAATCATAATATCAATTTGAAGACAAAATTATGTTGGAGACTTCAAGGGGAATTGACCTTTCAAAGTCGCATTTTTAGACTCGGTATCTAAATAAAACTTTGAATTGGTAAACGTGTTGTCTAACTAGAATCCTAAAGTTAAACTCCAATTCCGACCAATTAGCAAATTGTAAATTAATTAATGTACGTACATATATAATACTATATTTATGTCGTGATCTATATGGTCCAACTCGGCACAATTTAACTCCAAGCAGATTGGACACGTTGGCCTTCTTTGACTTTGACTAATTGGAAAGGTAGAAACCAAAAATAAATAAATAAATAATAATAATAAATGGAAATTCCATTGTTTTCTAAAAAGATGAAATATTATTAATTACAACTTCTCCAATATTTATCCATATTTTTGAGAATCGGATTCGCATATTGAGTGATCAATTTTATTGTCACCACTTATACGTAGTTCTACGTGCTGCAACAGCTCAACATAAAAAACGATTATACAGCTTTTGATGTCATACCAATTTTGACTTTAAAAGAAAACTTAATTGGATAGAAATTAAAACCCTACTAATTTCACAACTTTTTGGAGAACTTCGAGCTAGACTAACTACAATTACACGTGCAAGATTCAGAATTTGTGGGCAATGTTAGTGAATAAATATGCTTGATGGTTGGTCTTGCATGCTTGATGCATGAACGAGTTATTTGACGAGTGACTATAAATATAAAAAGTTTGAGATTTATACTTCTGTGTAAATAATTAAAATTATCTAAAACTAAGGATCCAATGTTAGTTGGTGTTTTACGATAATCTAATCTCATTTTTAAAGTTACTCGATTGACTCATTCTTTGGGACTTTTGTCCTAAAGACATAAACAATATCATGATCAAGATTAAAATTAATATAGACGAAAATAGAACCGCAATTAAGAAATTTGAATATAATATTATAAATTCCAAAAGGCTCCTATATTCGTATAATTTTTTTTCTCGATTGCTTTACTATAAATTTTGGATAATCTATGTTTTATAAATCATATTTTCTATACAGTGTCTATCTTCATTACCAATTTTAGGATTAATAAAATTGTCATTTTCACGTTACACAAGCCATGTATCCAACTTGTACATTCACTTTCAAGCTTTAAAGTTAAACAAGAATTGAATAATAAAAAAAAAAAATCTGAATTTCCTGCTTTGACTCTATCTCCTCCTCTCAACTTAGAGAGAGAGAGAGAGGGAGGTTGACCATTGTGTACATGTTCCGTTTCTATACGCGTATGTGTTTTTACGTTGAGCAAACATTATTTTTAAAATACATTTCTTTCTTTTTTTCAATAATATATTCTTCAATAAAATAATATTACACACAAATTTAATTTTTTTTAAAATTTTGTAACCACACATTATCCATCAAAGTATTATTCCAAAATTTATTTTCATCGAAAAATGAGGTTCAAACAGGTTGTAAATATCAATTTCGAAATTCCATCAATCAAAATACTTTGATACAGCCGATTTTAAAATAGTGAATATATATTTTAAAAAGTGGGGCCTACAATGTGGAAAAAGTCCTGAATGGAAAGAAGATGCGAAAAGGTCGATCATCTCCATTTTTGATTGCCTAACGGTGGACATATATATACGGTAAAAGGACCTTTGAAAGTAAATTAGATAATTAGAAAGCCAGTATTGAATATAAATAGTTGACGGGTAAAGGGCGCCTGAAAGCATTGTGCTCCTCTCCGTCACTTCTCTGTTCTCTCACATACAGACGGTAAAAACGCACGAAAAATTTCCTTAATGCTATAAATTGCTAATTTCATAAATACATCTGAATCTGATCTAGTTGTTACCATAATGGAGCCGCCATAGCCCATAAATTCCTGCATGGAAATTGGAATTTTTCCTTTTTTATCTTCTTTTACAGCTTAAATTTGGCCTCCCTGCTGCCTAGATTTCACCCAAAAAGGTAGAAATTTTCTCTAATACTTAATTTTTTGGTTTGTGTTGTTCACTGTTCCATTAGTATCCAGTTCCCCTGCTTTTTTTTACAAAATTAATTGTCTTCTGAACAAAACTGAGCCTCCTATTTGATCTCTGTTCCTTACAATTGAAATTGTCAGCCAATCCTATATTTGTTAACAACAAGGCCTCAGGTTTTAAAAGAATAAGATGCAAATTAAGGCATTAGAGAAGAAATGAAAAATTTCCAAGAGGAATCGAACCAAAAAATGTTTATGTTATAATTTCATTCAGCTACCTAGTACAGTGTTTTGATTATTATGTTTTGTTTGAATCAAATTTTTGTTTGTCCACTATTCTGTGTGACCAGAGGATTTAGAGAATGGGGAAGCACTTTCGGATTAGACGTGTTGATGATGAACTTGAAGATAAGCAGCCGGGCTGCGTGTGGGGATTAGTCCATGCCCTCGACTATCATCATTGGCATTCCAAAGGCAGAAAAATGATCCATCACCGAAAACATGAACGCCAAAGACAGTCAAACTGTAAGCCAACGCGCAGTTCTTGATTTTTCTTTCAACATCACTCTCCTTGACTCTTCCGTTAAAGTGACTAGTGAATTTGAAGATTCTAAATTTGATAGAAGTACTTTATCCCAGTCATGATACCGTTGAGTCGGCACGACCGCGTTGAGTTCTGTACGTTATTGTGGAATATGTTTTTTCAGTTGTAATCTCAATGTTCTTAATCATTTCTGCAGTTTATGGAAGTCCCAAAACAAAATTGCTGGATTCTGGTGAAGTAGAAAAGCTTTTAAATGACCAAGAGAGCGCATTTGTTGTAAGTACTTGTACACAACTAGTTTCATCGTGATATTGCAATCGATTCTTTTTGAAGTGATGACTAATTATAAAATGTATTGGATTGATCAGAGTACTCAAAGTTTTCGCTCAACCAACAATCGATCTCTAAAAGCCCCCATAGCCAAAGAGAATTCTAAGGAAGGGGACTTAGAGGAGAATGGACAGCATAAAGCTGGTTCCTCAGTCCCATCAAGATTGCAGCGAACTTATTCAATACACCATCTGGAATCCTCAGATTGTGGTCTTCATAAAATAATCACGGACTGGAATCATCCTATCATTTTCTTTCCCGAAAATGGTGCGACTCAGTCATTGGATACAGCAAATAAGGTGGCTTTTGACCAGCAAGAAGCTTATAGTGATTCTATGGACGGTACCAAACATGAACTAGAAGAGGGTGCAGATGTTCTTGAGATGTTTAAGGTAGATAAGGACTTATTTGTAAAAACTACAAAAGGCTTGGATAAAAGCAAAGAGGAGTTCTTCGACGGTCTGCTACCCTTGAATAAAACTGCAAAATTGAGCAAAGCGAAATCCTTCCCTGTTGTTGATTTGTTGCCAAGGAGAAAATTAAAGCCTAGTAAACTCGAGCACAAGAAAAATGAAATTTGGTCATTCCGCGAAGGAGACAAATTGAGAGCTTTTAATCAAGCACCTCAGTTGGCTCATTCTGAGAAAGAAATTGTTCAAAGACGGAACGAGACAATTTCCAGTGGTACTGATGAATATAATATTACAAAAGGTGCGAAAACTCACCGCAGAAGTTCTTCTCTAAATGAATCAGTTGCTATATACGCTTCATTGTTTGCTAGTAGTTATGGTGCGGAAGTCCAGTTGCATTCCTCTAGGAGCTTAAAGTCGATAAATGAATATGGCCATGCTCCAAAGTGCTTCCCAAGGATTCGCTCTCTATCTCAGGCTGATTATTATTACTCCGATATAAAATTTGGGTTTCTAGGCAATGATTTCTCTGCACATGGTTCAAATACTAATTTTGAAGAAAGTAGCTCATGTGTTAATCAAGAGAATACACCACTCGATGCAAATGAGGCTACCGATGGCCAAAACGAATCAGTCAATGCACATAATTGTATGCAAAGAATGGAAAACAATGCCTGCAGCTTAAGGTTGAATGTGAGGGATGAGGATAGTTTTCTGTTGGATGGTTGTGTACAGGAAGTGGATGAGTTAACAGTGGACGAAAGTGATTCCCATGGGGAACAAGTGACTAACAACTCGGGAATCATCCCCGAGATTCGTCCAGAGGAATGTTGCATCTCAGATTCTGAGAAATCCTTCCGAGGAATGGTATCTCACCCTGGAGATATTCAAATTTCTGAAGGTATTTCCCCTGCCTTAAATTTTGCATATTGTACAGTTTCAATCTCACACGCAAATTTTTTTCTCTTGGTGCTAATCTTTCTATAATCTTAATTTATTTACAGAAATTTACACCTTCAGTTTTTCTAGTAAAATGGATTGTGAAACTTCTAGGACTGGTTTCGAGTAACAGTTTTGTCTTTCTTTCTTTCTTCTTTAAATTAGGTTTGGATCATGAATGCGATTGTTTCTACCAGAAGAATTCTTCAGTACTCTCTCACGATCAGAAGAGTTTCTACATGGATTCTTCCTCGTCTTTCAACAGCACGCTGAACCATGAGAAAATTGAAAATGCAGATACAAATATCAGATATTTTAGAGAGAATGAAACTCAGAAAGAGCCTGATTACAACTCGAATTATGTGAGACACATTCTTGAGAAATCTGGTTTCATTGAAAACGCCTTCAACATAACATGGCATTCATCTGATCAGCCATTGAGCCCTGAACTGTTTGAGGAAGTCGAGGCTAACTGGAACCATGAACAATCTCAATTAACCGGTTGGCCAGACTTTTACGGCAGTTGGCATCATCGGCTGCTATTTGATGTGGTTAATGAGGTGTTAATTGAGATATACAATAAATCATTTCTGTACTATCCAAAGGCCTTATCCTCTAGTTGTCGTGTTCGTCCAATGCCAGTGGGAAACCACTTTATCAAGGAGGTCAGCACAAGTGTTGGCGCATCGCTTAATTTCAAGCCCGAGGAAAAGGAGTCTCTAGATTCTATAATATCTTGTGATTTGGAAAACGACTACAGATGGATGAACCTCCAATTAGAATCTGAGACTGTTGCACTTGATTTGGAGGATGTGATTTTCGATGAACTTCTTGAAGAGGTTATCTGTAACAAATTTAATGTGTAGTGTGATACCGTAAGGGAGTAGCAACGAATAGGTTACAACATGCTATCTCGATTGAAATCCGAAGTTTGACAAGTACGATGGTCCTAGTGTTGTGAACTAAATCTAATATATTATGTATTTATATGAAAATATTTCTTACTGTAGTATTTGATGAGAAATTGTTGATTGTTTGAAAATGGTAAAATGAATGTAATCAGTTGTGCTTAAAAGTTTACTACCTCCATCCCAATTATAGAGGCTGAGTTTCATTTTTCTCTTGTCCCAAATATATAGGCCCGCTTCCTAATGTAAAATATTTTGTTGTGTTCATTTACCAATATAAGCTTATTAAATTTTCTCCACTTAATATGTCAACGTCTTGAAATTATCCAAATACACATATTTTCCATTTTTTGGAAACATGAAACAACTCTCATTTCTTTTTCTTCTTCTTCAACTTCTTTATTAGTTTCAACCAATGTTCTAAAAAGCATAAAGCGTGGCTAGGCGTGGAGGTCAAGTTTCAAGCTTTACAAGCCTAGACGAGCCTAAAAAAGCTTAGGCGTAAAAAAATGTTTTTTATTTTAAATTTTTAATCATTGTAAAAAAATTCAATAATGCAAATAATACATACCAAACATCTAAAATTATAAAATATTGTATTTACTTAATAATTCCTACGTAAAAATAAGTTTCAAAATCATAATTACATAACGTAGATGACTTGTAGCTTAAATCTTATCTAATCTAACTCTTTATCGGACTCCAATTCAATATATTCTTCTTCATCTAATTCATCTTTCGTATCGTCCGATACAAAATTATCAGTCACGGGCTCCCTTATTTCATTTTGATAATTTTTTATACCTCTTGTAAGTTGTAAGATATCATTCTCCCCCTCACCCTCATAATCACAACCCTCTACAATTCAAGATTGTGCATAAGTAGCATCACTTGTTAGTAAAGTCTCTATTTTGGCATTCTTCTTCTTCTTGTTCATCAACCTTGCATTAAATTGGATATAAACAAGATTGTTCATCCTCGTAGTGTCAAGTCTATTCATTTTCTTGGTTTGCATCTACAAAAAAAAAACCTAAGGAGAGGCACACCTAAAAACTCCTAAGCGAACATTAAGCGGTCAACGAGACGCGCCTAGGAACTCCTAGGCGAGCATTAAGCGGTCAACATTGTCGTTGACCGCTTAATTCCCGCTTAGGCTTAAGACGAAGCGTTTTCATCACGCTTCTCGACTAGGCAAAGATTATGGTAAAAATTAATTTTTCAGTGACATTAAAGAAACTTTTTTAATCCTTGTGAAAAACGAAACAAATTTATATAATTGGGATGGAGGGAATATTTCTTAAAAGAATCAGAATCGATGTCATGGTTTTAGATTAGTTTAAAATGTTCTTCACATTCTTGAGAGATTCATTGTTGGCATTCTGACTTGATCGTAAAAAGAGGCACGAATGGCCTTCAAGTACTACTCTATTTCCAAGAAGTTTTCGAACCTTGGCTCTTTTTTTTTAATATATGTGTTGGAATATAGAAAATCACATAGAAAAGTTAGAATTAAAATCTCTAGAAGCCAAACAGAGGACTTCGTCTATTAAATGTAAATAAACAGTTAGTTAAGTCAGTTACAGATTTAATTGAGTAAATAAAGTGTATAAATAGACCCTTCTGTAAAGCTATTAGAACACACGAGATAAATGAGAATTACTCAAGTCTCTATTCATATAATTCTCTGTTTTTCAAGCTTTGCATGTTATAGAAATTTACATGGTATCAGAGAATTAAAGAAAAATTTTCCACTGAAATCCTTTCATCTTGATTCTGTTTCTTTCATCTTCCTTGGTTCTTGCTTCTATGGCAACCTCTGAAACTTTTGAAAATTCTCTTGACAGAACTTCTATGGGCAATCCTTGTGATGATTCCTCGAGCCAATACTATCTTCATCCTTCTGACAATCTAGGAGCACTTCTTGTATCTGAGATCTTTACAGGTGAGAATGGAGTCGATCGATTTCAATTGCACTCAATGTAAAGAATAAAATATCCTTCATTGATGGAACTTTACTTCAACCTAGAATTGATGTTGACCCTAGAATTCGAACTGCTTGGCTAAGAGCCAATAATCTGGTGTTATCATGTTTAATGAACTCAATTTCCAAAGAAATTCGTGGCAGCCTTCTTTATTTTACAACTGCTTTGGACATTTGGGAGGAACTCAAAACAAGATACCTTAGAAGTGATGGTCTGAGAGTCTTTTCTCTGGAAAAATCCCTCAGTTCTATCTCTCAAGGTTCTAAAACTATTACTGAGTAATTTGGTGAGTTTAAAACCTTATGGGATGAATACATCAGTTATCGACCTATTCCAAGTTGTAAATGTGGAAATCTTGGTACGTGCACATGCAATATTCTCAAGAATCTCACAGATCGACAACAGTCTGATTATGTGATCAAATTCTTGGTTGGATTGCATGATTCATACTCAGCCATCAGAAGTCAGTTACTCCTTCAATCCCCTCTACCATCAATGAGCAAAGTATTTTCTTTGCTACTACAAGAAGAAAGTCAAAGATCCCTATCTAACAGTACTGGAATTTCCCTGGATGCTCATGCCATGGTTGCTGCTCAACCACAAAGACAATCCTTAACTGGTACTAGATACATGAAGCAGAAAGGAAAAACAGACTTGGTCTGTTCTCATTGTAGCTATTCTGGCCATCTTGCAAACAAATGTTTCCAACTAATTGGATATCCTCCTAGATGGAAAGGTCCTAAAGGGAAAAGATCTATCAATGTGCACTCTGGAAATTCATCATATGCACAACCCATTGCAAACAATGTATACTCATTGGAACAAAATTCAAGTATTCCCAATATGATATTTTCTCAAGAGCAAATCAAAAATCTGCTTACCCTAGCAATTAGCCTATCCAATTCCAATCTTAATACCGATTCTACAGCTAATCTTGTCTCCACTTCCTGTAATAATGAATTAGGTATATTCTCTTCCTGTAATTCTATTTCTTCTTCAAAGAATTCATACACTTGGATTCTTGACACGGAAGCAACCAATCATATGACCTGTTCTCCCCACTTTTTTAGTTCCATAAGCATGCTTAGCAAACCTTCTAAAGTTCATTTACCAAATAGACAATCTGTCCCTATCTTTTTCTCTGGACATGTCATACTTTCTTCTGATATAACCCTGCAAAATGCACTGTTTGTTCCTTCTTTCAATGTTAATCTAATTTCTGCTTCAAGATTGACTAAAGATAACTCTATTGGATTAGTTTTCCTTCAATCCAAATGCATTTTGCAAGATTTGAACAACTAGAGGATGATTGGGCTTGCTGAAGTCAAATTTGGTTTATACCACTTGTCTTTTCCTACTTCAAATAAGAGTGAAATAACTGATCTTATTGTTATTCTTCTACCGCCTTAGTTCAATCATGTAATAGGAATTCTCACCTATGGCATCTTAGATTAGGACATGTTCCATCTGCAAGATTACAAATAATCAATAATCGTGATTCTTCTGTAAAGGTCCCTCAAAATCATGTATGTGAAATATGTCCCTTAGCTAAACAAAAGAGGCTTTCCTCATCTGTATCAAATAGTCAATCAAATAAAAAAATTCAGTTAGTTCATGTTGACATTCGGGGTCCCTTCTCTACAGTTTTTTATTCTGGATATAGCATTTTCTTATAATCTTAGATAATTATACTCGTTTTACTTGGCTATATCTCATGAAAGCAAAATCCGACACAAGATCCATACTTAATAGCTTTATCAAATATGCTCAAACTCAATTCAACACAAATATTCAAACTTTTAGAACAGACAATGGTCAGGAGTTTAACATGCCTCTTTTCTATCAAGAGCATGGAATAATACATCAATTATCATGTGTTGAATCTCCACAAAAGAATGGTAGGGTTGAAAGAAAGCATCAACACCTACTAAATGTTGCTAGAGCCCTTTTATTTCAAAGCAATTTACCTTTATCTTACTGGATAGATTGTGCTCTAACAGCTACATATCTTATTAATCGTACTTCTTCTTCAACCTTAAATAATCAATCACCATACTATCTCTTATTCCACAAACAACCAAATTACAAATACCTCAAAGTGTTTGGATGTTTGTGTTTTGCAAGCACACTTAAAAATAATCGAGGGAAGTTTTCACCTAAAGCTTCCAAATGCATCTTTCTTGGTTATCCACCAAATATCAAAGGATACAAAGTGCTTGATATACTTACTTTCAAAACCTTTATATCCAGAAACGTCACATTTCATGAATCCACTTTTCTATCCATTCCTAATTCTATACATATACCATTTGTCTTCGCTAATTTTCCTCAAATATATGACCGTCCTGCTACATAAAATTCTTCTTCAACTTCTCCAGAAAATTCTGTTCACTTACCACCTTCTAATATTACCAAACCATTACCTACAAATCTGAGAAGATCTGAAAGAATTAGGCATTCTCCTCAATATTTGCAAGAATATTATTGTGGTAATTTGACTAAAGGCTCTTCAGCAGCTCATGAACCTCTTGTTTGTCCTCCTTCAGGTAAACCTTACTCTATTGTGTTTTTCATTTCTGATTCAAAACTTTCAAATAATCACAAAGCCTTTGTTCATACTGTCTCCTCTATATCTGAACCTAGAACTTTTAAACAAGCCATCTCACAACCTCAATGGCAACAAGCCATGGCAGATGAGATTAAAGCCAATCAAACTTGGGAACTTGCAATTTTGCCTCCTAATAAAACAGCAATAGGTTGCAAATGGGTTTATCGCATAAAATTTAAAGCTGATGGCACATTGGATAGATATAAAGCTAGGTTGGTAGCAAATGGCTACACTCAACAAGAGGAACTTGATTTTTTTGACACTTTTTCTCCTGTTGCAAAAATGACAACAGTGAGAATTTTACTAGCTGTAGCTACATCAAACAATTGGTATTTACATCAACTTGGTGTTAATAATGCCTTTTTGCATGGAGCTTTAAATGAAGAAGTATATATGCAGCTGCCACCTGGTTTCTCTACACCAAATGACCCTCGAGTATGCAAACTCAAAAAGAGTTTATATGGTCTAAAGCAGGCCTCACGACAGTGGTTTTCAAAACTCTCCACTTCATTACTTCAGTTTGGTTTCACTCAAGGAAAGTCAGATTCATCTCTTTTTGTCAAGCAAACTGGAAATAGTTTTATTGCTCTATTGATATATGTTGATGATGTCATTCTTACTTCCAACAATTTAGAGCTTATATCTACTGTGAAGGATTTTCTGCATAAATCTTTTACAATAAAAGACTTGGGTGAATTGAAGTATTTTTTGGGGATTGAGGTAGCTAGATTAGCTAAAGGCATTGCTTTATGTCAAAGAAAGTATGCCCTCGATATTCTACAAGATAGTGGTTTTTCTGGATACAAACCAACTGCTTTTCCTATGGAATCAACTTTGAAACTAACTGCAAATGACTCATCAGATCATTTACCTGATCCAGAATCTTATAGAACACTAGTGGGTCAATTTTTGTATCTAACAATTACTAGGCCTGATCTTGTTTATTCAGTACATGCATTGAGTCAATTTATGGCCAATCCTAGCACCTTACATCTCAAGGCAGCAGAGAGAGTCCTTAGATACATCAAGGCAACACCAGGCCAAGAAATTTTCTTATCTGCTAAGTCTCCATTACATCTAAAGGCTTACTCAGACGGTGATTAGGGCGGCTATATTGAGATAAGAAAGAGTGTAATTGGTTTTGCAATATTTTTAGGAGATTCTTGCATCTCCTGGAAATCAAAGAAACAACCCATAGTTAGAAGGTCCTCTGCAGAGTCTGAATATTGAGTATTGGCATCAACTACCTGTGAACTTCAATGGTTAAGTTACCTGCTGTTAGATTTAAACATTGAACATAATCAAGCTGCTCTACTCTATACAGACAGTAAACCTGCCTTTGAGATTGCATCAAACCCAGTACACCACGAGAGGACAAAGCATATCTAATTGGACTGCCATTTAGTACTAGAAAAGTTGAAAGAAGGCCTTATAAAGATCATTCATATTCCTTCCAGATTCCAAATAGTAGACATATTCACTAAGCCTCTTGGTTCTCTCCATCTTCATCACCTTATTCGCAAGATGGGAATGATTAATAACCATTCTCATCTTGAGGGGGGTGTTGGAATATAGAAAATCACATAGAAAAGTTAAAATTAAAATCTCTAGAAGCCAAACAGAGGACTTCGTCTGTTAATTGTAAATAAACAGTTAGTTAAGTCAGTTAGAGATTTAATTGAGTAAATAAAGTGTATAAATAGATCCTTCTGTAAATCTGATATAAGATGACATCAATAATTATCCGTGTACGCGGGTGACAATCAATTACATCTAAAGGCTTACTCAGACAGTGATTAGGGCGGCTATATTGACATAAGAAAGAGTGTAATTGGTTTTGCAATATTTTTAGGAGATTCTTGCATCTCCTGGAAATCAAAAAAACAACCCATAGTTAGTAGGTCCTCTGCAGAGTCTGAATATTGAGTATTGGCATCAACTACCTGTGAACTTCAATGGTTAAGTTACCTGCTGTTAGATTTAAACATTGAACATAATCAAGCTGCTCTACTCTATACAGACAGTAAACATGCCTTTGAGATTGCATCAAACCCAGTACACCACGAGAGGACAAAGCATATCCAATTGGACTGCCATTTAGTACGAGAAAAGTTGAAAGAAGGCCTTATAAAGATCATTCATATTCCTTCCAAATTCCAAATAGTAGACATATTCACTAAGCCTCTCGGTTCTCTCCATTTTCATCACCTTATTCGCAAGATGGGAATGATTAATATCCATTCTCATCTTGAGGGGGGTGTTGGAATATAGAAAATCACATAGAAAAGTTAAAATTAAAATCTCTAGAAGCCAAACAGAGGACTTCTATAGGGTGCTCTACGTTCTCATAATAGACCGCCTACCACCATGGGGTGCTCTACGTTCTCATGATAGACCGCCTTCTCCATGGGGTGCTCTACGTTCTAAGGATAGATGGTCTACCACCATCGGGGTGCTCTACGTTCTCATGATAGACCGCCTACCACCAT